TCTTATACCTGATTTTATAATGTTTGTTTTTATATAAATCACCTTTGTATCAGCCTATTATATTAAAAAATTTCGACTAGTGTTAATTTGTAAGGACTGTTTGTTGTTGAGGGTGAACCAACATTTCAAAAATTTAAAATGTTGATAGAGTGGGATAGATTGCAGATTGGAGTTAAGAAATGAAAGATTGGAAGAGGGCTCCTTAGTAATAAATATAGATTTGATAGGGTTGATTTGGTTGTTAGCTATAAAGTAAAAAGAAGAAGCTGTTTTGACACCTTTATTTCCAACCATTACCTACTACCTCCTATTTCTTGCACACCCTGTCAAGGCTATAGCTTTAACTTCAATTGTATCTCTAGCTGTTGTACTCTAGAAGTTTCAGCTATTCTTTCTACCCAGTTTCTGGAGAGGAAAAAAGCTAACAACTCAATCTTAATGCAAATTATATCAACCTCATCTATTCTACCAATATCAAACACCCTATAGAAATACCACCTTCACCCTTTATTAATATTATTGACTCTTCTATATCTAGCATTTTTCACAACAATAAAGCCTCCCTTCAGCTCACCCAGATTGTGCTAGCTAACTCATCTCAAAACCAATTTATCTTTTATACAGATGGATCTGTTAAACAACTTGGTACCGACCAATACTTTATGGATATTGGCTGGGTTCAAATTCACAACAATTTAGTTATACAAAATTTTTCTGCTCAAATTTCTAATTGGCCCTCCTTATACAAAGCTGAACTATTAGCAATATTGTCTGTTATCTCCATCATTCCACGTAACTTCAGCCTACAAATCTATACTAACTCACAGTTAATTATATCTAAGTACAACAAACTCCTTACCTTGTCTTCTTACTCTAAAAAATACTTTAAATTTAACTCTTGGCCAATTTGGCACACACTTCTTAATATCCTCAAAGCCTTCAATATCCAACTTTCTCTCTTCAAAGTTCAAGCTCATTCTAATAACACTTTCAATAATCTCGCAGATTTACTTACCAACAACCATTCTACTTCTCCAATGTTATCTTTTAACTATACTAACCTCTATAATCCTTACTCTATCTTATTATAGAAAAACAATTTTATTGACAGCCCTTCGAGACAACTTATTAAAAATATATGCAATATATACAACATAGCTCTCTGGTTCTCACAAAATTGTGCCCAAGAATGGTCACACTTTTTTCACCAAATTGACTGGAACGCCTCTTGGCTATATTTCAATAATAATCAAAAAACTTTATATAACTTCACTAGTCCCAAACTAAACCACCTCAAATCCTTTAAAATCAAAATGTTACTTAATATACTACTTACATATGCACACTTCTATAATACTTACCCTCATATATTTATATCTCCTAACTGCTTTTCTTGCAATAACCTAGATTCTCCTTCACACTGGTATGCTTGCCCTAACCATGATCTCTTAACCCAAACTATTGACTCTTCTATATGTGATATTATTACCAACACCAAACTTAACCTTTCTTCTTATCAACTAAACAACCTTATATATACTATCTCTTCGCACTCTGCTTTTAATCTTCTACCATCTCAACTATATCCTTTTTCACTTAACTCTATACTCAAAGGTCTTATATCTATATTCCTAATTCAATCTCTAGACCCATTTGAAATTTCATACTCTAACTCCTCCCAACTTATTATTCGGATACTTCTTAAAATTTCTAATCAACTCTACAACAATATTTGGATCTTATACTGTATCAATTTTTCTAATTGGAAAAAATCTTGTCGAATTCCTTTCTATTCTAACTTTAATAATTTACCTTAATCTTTTTCATGGCCAACCAATAGAAGAAATAAAATCCACTATACTTACAGTTGCCCTTGTGGCTTCGCTGACCAATTACACTCAGAATCTAATACTTGTCCTCCTCTAGGACAAGCTACCCTTAAAATTAATATTTGGTCTACTATATGGATCAAATATAGCATATCTATAAACTATATTTTAACAATTCAAATCTAGGTAAGTTTTGATTACTCTAGTAGGTTTAGATCGCAGATAATTAGTTTAGCTTTTAGGTTAAGCTTCTAGTCTGAGCTTTTATTCTTGAATATAATTTATATTTATTTGTTTTTTATACAAATTAAGTTTTTATATAGTTGATATATAATTACTTATATAAATTAATCAATAAAGATACAAGCAAGATCTCACTTTAATACCAAAAAAAAAAAAAATTTAATAGCTTTTGTAACAAGTACTTAACTTCTTACTGTGATCTAAATAATTTTAATTAATAAATAAGTGCTAGATCTTGTAGTTGAATGGTATAAATTCTTAAAAAAATATGCTTACAGTATGTTATATTTATAAGGGTAATAAATACCTTTTATTATATTTTAACTATACTTGACAGATTTATTCAACAATGTAAAAGCACTTGTAGAGAAAATTCACTTCTAAAATTAATAAATATTGGGGAAAAAAAAATTAGAGATAAGCAAAATATTGATTAGACCTCAATCGCTATTGTTATCTGCTGTACAACTTTAATCTATCATATGACTAAATTTGGCACCTATGAAAAAATTTGATACCCATGAAAAAAAATTATTTTTCTAGTAAAACAAAAATTCTAGCGTTATTACTATGTGAAGACACCTTTCATTAAACATTTTTTGCTTGTAGGGTTAAGCAATGTTAAATATTACATGAGGAATTAAAGGTTATTTCTTATAGTCTTTATTATCAAAAATCGATCGGAAAATTTTTTACTATAAAAAATCTTGATTGGTGATCATCCATATATCATATGCACTATGTTTGTAATTAGACCGATGTTGGACACCCTAGATACTTATGTCAAGCAAATTCCGGGCTGAAGATCACTTCTGATCATAAATTTCGTAGATCGGATCCAATAAAATTACAGGTCTTGTGTAACAAAAAGAAATTGTAAATAACGCGAAATTTTACTATGCCAACTAGCTCCCGACCTTAAAAAAAAGTTTCCAGCCCGAAATTTTAGTCATAGGGGGCATTTTTATATACTAAATATATGGGAAATTTTTGATATACTACGACCCAAAATTTTTAGGCCGGAAGTGATCTTCAGCCCGAAATAAGAATACCCAATGATAGCACGATGTGCTAATTTGATTTTTGCTTCGTTTCAGATGTCGCTGAAGCTGAGAATTCGCAAGAGGAATCGATTGAATCGATGAAAATTTTATGACTATCAAAATATTTATAATTATAATTTTAATTTTTTAAAAATAGCAACATTGGGTTTGTAACTATATTAAAAGTAACTATAGTATATCAATACAGCTGAATATATTAGTTTTTTAGCAAAATTTTAAAACAAATCCAAAACAATAACGATAATACAGTATTAACTTTTTTATTTTATTTTATAATATAATATTTTACAAATTGTCAAATTTTTAAAAAATTAAAATATATCTAATAAACCGAAAAAAAAATATATACTAAATTTTATTTATTATAATTTTAAACTTTTTAAGCAAATGCATCTTCACGATCAGCTTCAACATCTTCCTCCATGGAAGAGAAATTGAGAAAATGTTGCGGCCTATGTAATTCATGATAAAACTCTTTAGGAACATCAAGCTTAAGGGTATATTTCATACTTGTACTATGACTAGGACCCATGAATGAATAATTCCAAATATCATTTTCCGGAACCATGAAGAATCCCATAAATCGATCTGAGAGCAACATTTGGACTTTTTCTGCAAATGTCGGAAGATAACCTATGGATTTAATAGATAGGTTAATGCAAATCTCAAGTAATAATAAAATAAAATAAAATAAAAATAAAATAAAATAAAATAAAATCGCACCTGGTGGATTCATTGATGTGTCTTTGTTATTACGAGCCCATTCGAATCCAGCAGGTGTTAATTTATAAGCTGTGAGGGAGCATGATCCGGGTGTAAAGCTCACAGTCATTGTTATTGTCTTATCGCCATCCCAATTTTTATTATCTGCTACTATTCTGGCATGTAAAGATAAGATAGTTGGAGAAAGCTGTGCGGTTTCGAACGGCTGCGTGACAATAAGTCCAAGTGGTTCAAGGTCTCTAATTTGTTCGTGATCTGGAAGCATGTTAGGCAGGTTAACCTATAGTTAAAAAAATATAACATTAGTCAAAAAAATCAATAATAAAACCAAGAAAAAAATTTTTTTTTAAAAAAAGAAAATTATAAACTTACCGTTTGATGAGTACCATATTGTGGAACAATAACCAATGCTCTAATTTCTTTGACTTGAGCATTATCACGTGGCGAAATTCCATACAAATAAGCTGAAATTTGAGTGCGGAGATCGGAGATTTGAATGAAACGTTTGAGCACATTCTTTGGGAGGACATAAGTATAACCAGTATCTCTTATATCTTCAGCATTAACATAGATATGGTTAGTACGAAGGTGTAAATTTGTTGATGAAATAGCTCGCACGCGCCACTCTGTCTTTGACGAGAATGTTTGTGTCTCATAGTTGCTTGTAGTAACAACTAGCATTTCGTCACCATGCACATTTTGAGTCTTGGTTGTAACAGCGGTAAGCTGACTTTGTTCTTTAGTTTGTTTCTCAATTTCTGCGATCTGCTGGCGTTGAAGTGATGGTGCTGAAATTTCCATACCAAGTATAATGTCACGAATTTCAGATTGAGTTAGAGAAGCGACATTAACATTGTTCTTTTTTCCGTAATCTGCCAAAATTAAATCTTTAAGTGCGACTTCGACTTTGATCCATTCTTCATCACTTAACGTTGGCCAGATATGATGGGGTTCTGTTATTGTATTCTTATCGGGACGTAAAATCAATTTTGTTTTTTCTGTGTTTACATGTAGAGCTCTTAGTATAAGAATAAGACGAGAAAACGCAGTATATGAAGAAATCGTTTTAAGCCAATCATCGAATAGATTGAACAATGTCTAATAATTGCAGAAATTTCATTAGTAATTTTAATAATTAATCAATTAACGAACCAGCAGAATATGAGCATATCGAATAAGTACCATTTGAGGCTCTGTAGCGCGTAAGATCAAATCTCCAAATTTTTCGAGTTTGAGACAAGCTTGGAACGGTAATTGTAACTCACTTCCTTTAATGACAATGTTTGGAAAATCAAGTAAATGTACTTCGAGAGGATCCAACATTCCTTTTCTAGTTACAATAATCTGTTTAGGTTGTTCTTCGATCGGTAATGAACGAATCAAGGCAGCCACTTCTTCGGCAGTTTTCCATTTCGCTAATTGACCCAAACGTTTTTGTCCAGCCCAGACTGATGTGTGAATGATTTTTAAAAACAGCTGACCAGTTCTTGGGTTGAAAATGAAAATAGCACCATTGATAGGTTTAGTTGTCAAGTTTCCTTCGAATGTTTTATGGATTGTCACACGATATACGTTAGTATCATCCACGAACCAAATAATTTGATTTGAAAATAATTCGGAATAGTTCTGAGATGATAGGTATGGTTCAGTAGGTTCTGAACTGTATAATTGTAAACCTTTTCGGATACGTTCTCGCAAAACGTATAATGCTGGATTGGCTTTCATAATTTTAGCCATCGCAGATTGAATCAACGGCTTCATTCCTGGAATCCAATGACCATAAGCACTATGCAGATTATAGGCCAAATCGATACCAATCATAATACCAAATGGTGATGGATATATGCTCATATTATCAGTAGAATAATCTAGGAATTTTGCTCTCGTATATCTTTCAATATCGTGAGAATCAAAATCACCCCATCTTAGTTGACAATCCACAAACCATCTTGATGTTGTTGTTCCATCCATAACATCCTTATTATCATTCAAAAGCGAAGGTTTAGATATGTTCCATTTATATGAGGCAAATAGTAATATATCAGCACATGATGAGTTCATCTTATATGATTTTCTAGGGTGAATAGACTCTTTTTGCACCGTTTCTATCTGCAAACTTTCAAGTTCAGAATCAAATACTTGACAAAGATCCATAATAACACTTTCGTGCACCTTTTGCCATAAATGGGCTCTGAAAATTTGAATCAACGAAATCTTTAAAGTTGGAATCTTTCCGTGCATAAATATACCCGTAAGATCTAGTTGGACTTGGAAACCAACGTATACGTTTGCTCGATTAATTGTTGGCGACCACCATAACGTAAATCGACGATTGGGAATTTGGTTTAGACCAGAACGCTGAGCATTCGTCAATTTCTTATATCTCATACTCTCTTCAAAACCTGACGCCTTTTCCCAAAATAATCCCTCCCATGTAACAAAGTATGTACCTTTAAAGAGTGTATGTTCTAAGATCCCTTCGACTCCACCTAAGGCTTGAATCATATCAGATCTATAATTATTGAGACACCACAGTTTTCCATCATGTCTGGAATGTGTCCACCAGAATGGATTGTTCTTTAATACTTGATATTGCTTAAAGTCCGTTCTGACACGCCACCCTTTATCATAAGCTAAGGTATGTCGATCTTTAGAAAACAAAGTATTTATTCTTGGTAAACCACGATCCCAAGAATCTTCAAGATCTTCAAGGGTCAATCTTCTATTTTGGGCATTGGCTTCTTGACGTTTAAGTGCATATTCGGCCCACACACGTTGAGAGTCAATAAATTCCGACTCCCAAGGTTGAAGGTATCTGAACAAATTCGGGATTAGTTGGTCTTCTTCGTGACTCATTCCTGATCTAAAGTGAGTTATTCCAGTTTCAGTTTGTTGACTCCAACGAAGATCACTTTGCGGTATGAGAACGTGCCCCATAGATAACATTCCTAGTCCCTATGATTAGATAGTAAATATTTACACGTTAATTATAAATTTCAAGAAATAAAATTAGATGATTTTAAACCAAAATCATCAATACTTACACCCACTATTATCATAATTTATTGAAAGAAAATTAACAGTTAGTATGTATTTTTTTCCTAGAAAACATGGCACGAAAAAGTAAAGAATAGACGATAAATCTTACATTCTTTTGGACAATAAAATACGACAGGTGGAAATCTAGAAGGCATCTTAGAATTAAGTCCAATCTTAATTCTTGTTTGAATTTTATTTTCTGCTTTAACGATTATGTCCAATAATTCACGTGTATGCACAACTGCTTCTCTAAAATAGGACATCAGTCCAATAAGACAAGTATTCCATTTATTTGAGATTTTACTAAATGTGGTTGATCCGCTAGCCATTAATATTTGACGAACACGATTGTGGAATTTTTGCATTGATTCTTCGTCAACGCGAAGGAATGCCTGAGCTGTTCTTTCTTTTGTTTGCTCATTTATTAAGTTCCAAACTCCATCTTTGAGAGTGAATTCCTCGTTGAGACTTCGAATCTTTGGAAGTATTCTAACCTCAAAACCGCACATAGAGAATAAAACATTTGGATTGTCCTTAGAATAAACGCTACAAAAAGTATCATCCCATTCTATTGTGGTAAGCGAACGTGGTAATCTATTTTTTATATCCCAGAATACAGCTCTTCCGGCGTTAACATCACTCTTAAATAATCGCATGCGACAATCTCGTGGCCAACATTTCTTGTTATTGTAACCAACTATGTTTTCTGAGTTTGGATCTGGATGTTCGGTCAAATAACGTTGAATTAAATCTCTAGCTTCATCTGCATTAAAGCGGAAGAAAATATGGATTTTATCTATGTAGCGACAATATAATCTAATAGGATGTCGAGTCTCTGTAGCAACGTCGCGGAACTGTAAGAAGTCATTTGGCATCTGAGGAGGACCAGCAATTTCTGAAGCTCTTTGAAGTCCAATAACCAATAAATCCAAAATGAGTCCATAATATTGAAAGATAAAGCTAGCGAATTGTAATCCACGAATAAGGCCATATGCATTTACGTGATTCATATCTTTATAGTTAAGTACTACGTTATTCTTTGCGGTCATATAATCAGCCAAATTATGATCTAAGATCAATCTTAAGAGCCTGTTCAACAAAGTTAAATCAATCTTTTCATAAACTTTACTAAATTGTGTTTCCAACATAACATTAATCTCCCCTTGGGATGTTTCCCAAACATCTGTCAAATTGTTAATTCCTTGGCAAAATTTGTAAACAAGCAATGGCGGAGGTTCAGTGTCTGATGGTTTGACCCACGCTGGAAATAGATTTCTCTTTGTACCTTCATACCAAAGATATTGATCAAGGTAAGCATCAGTAATTTTTTCGAGTGGTTCGACGTCAAATACTGGAATCAAATGACTATAAAGATCCATAAATTCAATTCCGACTTCTTTAAAGGCTCTCTGTGTTAATAATAAACGTTTAATTCGACTTAATGCCTCATGTGGATTATCATATGCCTGTTCGATCAATCCTAACTCTTCTCTTTGGCTTTGATTAAGACGTCCTTTAACGCTATAAGCCTCTTTCAACCTTTCAAGAGCCAAAATTAACAATTTTGTGTCATGTTTGTAGGAAAGAGGTGGAAAGGGAATAGGTGAAAATTTACGGCTTTCCAGCCAATGTACAGTGGACGTATATATAGCTACCGCTTCCTCTGCTGTTATATAAGGACCATCTTTGAGATAATTATGTTGACGCTCTTGTTCAGCTTTTAGCCACAAACGCGTCAAACGACCAAGATTTTTCTTGCAAACCTAATAACGGAAGAGTACATTAATGATTGAATCAACAAATTTATATTAAATTATTCTATGAAAATATAATTTACCGTTTTATCAACTGTTGCACCCCTTCTAATTCTTTCTCTATTATAATGTGCTACACTAGTCCACCAATCTGCTTTACTTTTGACATATCTTAAAATCATATTCTCAATAGGCTTTGGCATTCCCATTATATGCCATGGAACGTTTGCTTTCCAACACCTCCATGCTTCACTTAAATGTTGTAATATAGTCTTTGATTTATTCGCCTTGATACCTTCAGGCATCATATCTAGGATATCATGCATGACTGCAGCACGAAGTTCAAGATCGTAGTGAGATTCTACACGTTGCTTAGTTACAGTTTTTGCAATTCCCTTAGAGTGACGACCTTCAAAGTGACGAGCCAACAAATTCCCAAGCCAACGTTCTAAAAGAGGAACTATTCCTCTCATGAAAAATAACCAAACTCGCCATCCTGGTGCCCAAAATCCACATCCTGGTCCTTTACCTACTGGACCAGTATTAAATCGATAATATATAAGATGTTTCAAATCTTTGCACATTCGAATCTGTCTCATTAAACGATATTTATATCGATACATCCCAGTCAGTTGACCGACGTGCGCAAAGATATACTGAAGGCCGTCAGCTATATGACACATGACAAAAGTTAATATCGAATATGTAATGTGAAATTATAATATTAATTTGAAAAAATTGAAAAGGTTCAATTTTGTGACATACCTAGTTGGAATGCATCAACATTTCCCAAACGATATTGTACATGTGAATCGACAACCAACTTTGTTAGACGTAAAATTTCACGACATAAATGGAATGCATTTCCAAATCGAGACTTTTTACGTTCTTTCGTAGTAAGAGTTTTTACAGGTTTCAAACTAAACAAAAAAAAAATTTCATATTAAAATTATATAAAATAAATAAATGAATAAATAAAATATTAAACACTAAAAAATAATACTAACTTAAAATTATAATCAAGATGTAAGTAATTTAGATTCTTTCGATGAATCAAAAGATTGAGCATGTTGTAGCCTTGACGACAGACTTGTAATCCGGCCTCAACCCAGTCGAGTTCAGTTGTTTGAAAGAATTTTGTGGATTTCAACTGACGGAACAAATATTTTTTATTCAAAGCCTTTGGTGGTCTATGTTTTAGTGCATTTAGCACATAACATTTTATAAGCTTTTGATATGAAACTCGAACTTTAACAGGTTGTCCTGGCGGGCAATGTTCAAGATACCAATTCTTAACTAGGGGTATATCTTCTGCTCTTCGCATTCGTCCGCTACGTTTATTAAATGGATGTGGAGACCACCATAAAGCTATCCCATCAGCAGTAGTATCCGTATAAAGTGGTATACTTTCTAAAAATGGAGAGACTTTCTCTGGAAGTATAAACTCATCGTCTTCTTCTTTATCGCCAAATATTTCATCTTCATGAGTTATTGCCGAGCTTTGTGGAACAAAATTACGCGATGAAATAGGATTGATGATAGGATCAAAGTAAAAAGCCGGCAAATCCGGATCCTCTGAACGAATATAAACCACAGATGGTTCATGATACCATGATACATGAACAGATCGTGGAAGTGAATTATACAGAAAAGGAAAAGCAATTTTATATTCAGTGCGAATAGGTTGTCGTATTATGATTTTATTTATGTCATTAAATTCATTCCAGTCATCGTCCGCTGTATCCATATCTATCATAAATGAAAAAGTGTAATTTTTAGCATTTCTATATCAACTCCGATTTAAAAAATGGTATCAACAAAAATAAATAAAATAAAATAAAATAAAATACCTCTATAAAGAGGCTCGAACTTGCTCCCTCCAGGAATCGCCATATTTAGAGCTTTTGCAGTAAAAAACGACTTTAGATCAAATAGATAAAAATAATTTGAATCGGTGAGGTCTGATAATAGCTGATGTGCCAAACGGTATAAAGTCGACATTATTGGTAAATTCAACTTCCATCGTCTGTATGTTGGTCCATTTACAAATTTTGTGTCCACTAATGGTTTGTGGTCGTAAAACCATTCGAAGACAGGTGCATCTTCCTCTTCTTCTAATTCCATTTGGATTGCCTCTAATGGTTCGACATCTAGAATATTATCACCATAATCCAGTGGCGGTTCTTCATCATCAAATGGCGGAAAACGCATACGTTTGAAATGTCGTCTATCACGTTTTTCCCTGCGCATCATAATCCACATAGTACCCCATTGAGCTATATAAACAGGCTCGATAACCCATGGAATCTCATTTACGAATGTAATTGCACCAGTAATATGGTATAAAACAGGTATTTCACGAACCTAAACACAATTATAAAAATTATATATTAAAGATTAAGAAATAGTTCATAAATAAAGTTTCAGGAAAATATTATAATACCTGTTCCCAAGGCATTGGCATATTTTCCAAAAGTTTTAATACAGCATGAGGGACATATTTTAAGGCACCAAGATATATTCTTTTATCATGTCGATATTTTTTACTGGACATATCACCGTGATCTTTGATGATCTTTCTAATATGCTCAGGTGGCATATCAACCTTTTCGTGTTCAATGAATCCAAACTTTCTTTTTTCACCATATCGTTTCGATTGCATTTGTTGCCATTTTCGGGCTTTTTCCTCTAACTTTTCAGCTGCATTTTCGACAGGTTGTGAAGTGTTGCCATATTGATTTTGACCATTGTACTGATTTGGAACGTTTGTAAATTGATAATACTGATAGCCAAACGGTGGCTGTGGCTGTGATGGTTGCTGTTGTTGATCAGTATAAACATAACCTCCTTGAAGTTGATAAGGTGAGGATTCACCGTATTCAGACATTAAGACACTGAAAGAACTAAAGAAAGACGTTGAATTTTTTATTTTATCAGTTATATATTAGTTTATACTGCTGACTTACAAGCGGCCTACTAATTTGATTTGTAATTTCAACGGCCTATTTTATTGGTTATTATAGTCAGTCATCAGTTGCTATAATGCAATTTGATTGGTTAATCTACACGTGTAACATCCATTATTCTACGTAATATCGATATCTCGTTTAAACCTTCTATAATTATGACTGAATAAATTGACGCTTCGGGTTCAACGCATTACTATCATTGTTTCATAAGAGGACAAGCCAGCTTTAAATTGCAGAAACGTTTTCACTAAGAACTGTGCTTTAATTAAAGGGAAACGGCGCTCTGAGACTGATGAGGTTGATGCTAACAAGCCTAAGTCTTTGACCGAGAAAGAAGGGCCAATAGAAGCGCCGTACGAATATGCGCAAAGAAACCAGTTAGAAGTTTGGAGGTGGACTCCGGATCCTCAATATAATGATCTGTCCATCATTGTGAATTCATTAATTTCCAAATTAGGTTGATTATAATATAACTGTAAGTATAAATGTATTAACAATAATAGCAATAATTGATTATCTATAGACGATTTCTGTGCAGACTCGAAAAAGAAAAAGAGTATGCACGAAGACTTGCCCGGTCCCTTGTATAAAAAAACCGCGATTGTCTGCATTTACTTTATCTATAGATGATTATGCCTCCAATTGTGCAGACTCGAAAAAGAAAAGGAGTCTGCACAAAGACTTACCCGGTCCATTGTATAAAAAAATCGCTTCAATTTTACTTTATCTATAGATGATTTCGCCTCCAACTGTGCAAGCACTAGTGTTTGGAACCGGTTTTATTTTTCATATGTTAAACCCGGTTTAATCGGGTTTAACATATGAAAATAAAACCAGTTCCAAACTCTAGTTTGCACAAAGACTTGCCCGGTCCATTGTACAACTCCAACCCTCTTATCAACTTAACGCTAGACAATAAAATAACCAAAAACTTAAATAACTTAAATTAATCAATGAAAATATGGGGTCTTTGCTTTGAAAATGGCCTTACGGTACATGATACCGTAAGGTCATTTTCAAGGCAAAGACCCCATATATCAGAAGAGAAATTTGCGTTATCTGAAAATCATGCAAAAAGAGATAAAGAAGACATCAACTTGTGTTATTAAAGGAGAAATTTGCGTTAGCTAAAGTTCATTCAGGAGAAATAAAAAAAAAAAAGAAGATATTAGAGGAGAAACTTATATTAATGAATCGAAAATTCGAGTTACGTGAGCGCATAGCAAGGCTATTCAAGCTTCAAAAAATTTGTAACGTTAGGGGAGCCTTGGAGTACATCAGAGGACGAGCAAGTTTTTAGTTGTGTCACAAACGATGTTATTGCATTTTATATTTATTATTTCTTTTCTGCAATAAATTCGAAAATGAACCTGTTGACAAGATATTACAGCGGTTGTCTGAACAAGAAATGTTCGCAGAAGACGTGAGAATTAAAATTGAATATCCATATAGGCTAGCATCTGATTAATTATGTAATAGTATACCTCATGCGCTTTCAGGGTAGAAAATAATACTTAATGATAATTAAAAATTAATATTTTCTTTAATCGATAAAAAAACTATCGTCATCATGGTGCAAGACATTTATACTAGACAATCACGTGAATTGTTATAGAGCTATATAAGCTCTATAAAATTACCAATCAGCTTTTTGAAAAACTTTACTATCCGGGTGAACTTTTTTATATTTTTTTTATATATAAAATTTTTTTTGAAAATAGAATTAAAAGCCGGGTTGCCAGGTCATTTTTAAAATTTTATGTTATGAGAACCAAAAAATTAACTTTATGTGGCCCTTGATGAAGAAAAAAAATTAAAAAATATTACGCTTTTAATTGTAGCAGGCTTCGGTCATGTATTTAAAGCAGAATGGTTAGGCAGAGAAATATAACACAGAATTTTATTAAAAATAGCATTACAAGAAAAGACTTACAGTCTGTTGCGTTAAAGACTGTACCATGAAAGAGCAGATATAAATTCAACGAAATAAGTGAAAATTTAGTTGGCTGAAGTGAAAACTTATAGCCTTATAAATTTAAATGATTTTAGATCCTGCCTGCAATTATGATAAAAATCCATCCTCTCTAGAAGCTTTACCAAAATATTATCAGAAACAAGATTGTTTCAAAAAACAATTTTCATATAAACTTACATTCATTAAATCCTCAATTGATACGCAAATTATAGGATTAAGAAAAAATTTATTAATAGATATTTTATTATAAAATCTTAAATCAAATTATTTCAAAGCAACACTGTTATAATCTATTAATTGTATATTTTATTGAAATGATAATATCCAGTGTTGCTCACTGGAATGTTCTAGTGAGAATTACTGGAAGTGAAAAATCGCTAGACTTATAACTTCCAGTGATCAAATGTTACTGAGGTATTCCAGTAAAGATTTGTTGTCACTGAAATAGAATTTTCATTGATATCCAGTGGCTTCAGGATATACTAATGCTTAAATGTTACCTTAAACGATCGGTAATTCAAGTTTTATTATTCAAAATGAATTAGCATCATCAAGCTTTACACGAGTTGAATTACTGAATATCGAGTACATACTGGGAGACAAGTTTCTTGATATGTACCCGATAGTCTGCCATAAATCCAAGGGGATACTTCTATTGTATGTATCCTAGTGACTCTACCCAAATCCATTAGTTTGGGATTAGATAGAATCCCAAATAGTATTTACTAATATAAATTTAATTGTATTTGAGTTTGATACTATTGTTAAATTGGACATATATTTGGGTTGGGTTTTATGTCAATCCAAATTCCAAAACCCAAATTATGTATAATTCAAATAACAGGTTTGGGTAGAGTTGATTTACCATTTTTTAACTAAAATTAGGGCTAGGACAGTCTAGCTCTATATTCTATATATGGGGGACGTCTAAAGCGGAGGCAAATCATGTGATCAATGGGTTTCGGGCTGAAGATCACCGTAGATCCTTTCCGATCTAATT